TAAGAACAAGAGTTTAGAAATATTTATTATTTCCAGGTCTTCAAGACCAGATGCAAAAAGCATGTTGAGACTTGGTCGTCCTCAGTACCTTTTTATACATGTTTGAACCAATTTCTACAAAAATAAATTAAGTATTTCGGACTTAGATTTCGGTACCGCAGTCGATGTTGATCATCCTTCTGTAGTACTCTATCTCAATACCGCAGAAATCACTTGATCAAATCGCCATTTACATATGGGAGCTGAAGGCTGTTTCGTGAGACTTGGCTGGGTCCAAAGTGATCCTATGCGTCATGATCCTGTTGCGCGTTGGAGTCCCTTCTTGCTGATGTCCCCTCAATACAGATTTTAAATGCCGGCGATAAATATACTCTATACTTTTTACAATATTTGATGGAGTTCTTTCCCTTAACTGTACAATTGAGTAAACGACGCGAGGCTGCGAGGCTCGTTCCGCCGGTAGACGAGAGCTTTCTCGAACACGCACCAACGGAAAATTAACATGTACTTTCTGGTCGGATGGGGAGCGTTTTGGCTATTTGTATTGGAATTTATTGTGCTTTATTGAAATATCATTTTTTTCTATATACAGTATATGTCAAGACTCAGAAACTAACTGATAATATTGAGAGCTGATAATGCACTTCGATTATTATCATAAAAAATGTAAGCCACTGCCGAGAACAACTGAAGATTCCGATTCATCGTCTGAAGATTCCGATTCATTGTCTAAAGATTTCGATTCATCGTCTAAAGATTCCGATTCATCATCGGAAGACCCCGACGACGAACGTGAGAAAGTTTGAGATTCACGGCCGTCCGCGATGTATGACAGCTGGCGAGCGTTTGTGGCGATTTTTTCGAGGTTCGATGCTCTCAATTGTTTTACGTGATGCCGTTTCTAAGTAGTTAAGCAAATATGTCCACGTGTAAATAGTAGTAGTAACAAAGAATAAAACAAACACAAAAATGAAAAATGAAAAGAAGCTTGCCATTTCTCGTCGCATTTTTTTTTTTAGAATATTGACACTTTTCCCCGCGTGTTTTCCTTCTTTCTTTAGCATTTTGACACTTTTTCTTGCGCGTTTTCCTTGTCCTTGAAACGGAAGAAGTTAATAGCCTGCTAATACTGTTAAATTATCGAAATAGTGTACGCTACGAAGTAAAGCTTGTGCGAAATTTCTTACTTCTTCAGAAACGCTCTTTGAAACCACGATCTCGCAAAGCGAACGTATGTACTTGCTGTAGTTATAATCTTCGCAGGAGGACGGATTCCAGACGTGGGGCAAAACGTCACAACTAATACAATAGTCTCATAAGTCTTTCAGAAACGCGATTAAATGTTGGTCCCGAATTACTGGTGACGATCACGTGCGACAACTGCGTCCGGATCTAAACGCACCTGGTATGTATTCAAGTTTAATACTGTATTAGGAGAGGGGGTGGGAGACAACAGCAGCTTTAACTTTGTGACTCGAAAATAGAGTAGTATGTGCAGGAAAACGAATCTGTGAGAGGGATATAGAATAGTGTTATCCTCGCCCTACGCTATTGAATAGAGTAAACGCCTGGTACATATGTATACCGTTTGTGACATTGAATAACTTGTGATTGGTGCGTTTTTATCGGTTTGCATTAGGATCTCATTCTCCCGACACGATGGACGTGGACACTCATAAACTTCTCGAAGCCCAAAATGAGAACACAGATCGTGTATTGTTTGCTATTCCAGGTCCCTCAACAGTTGCGAAACGTTCAGTACAGCTAAAAGCTCGAAAACCCGATAGCACTGTTTTCATATAAATTTCGATATAGAGGCGCAGTATTGATTTTTTGAGAGATTATTGCATTTATTGGTGGAAGCAATTACATATAGTAAATTAAAAAAAAATTCGCTAACGTTAACCATTAATGCTGGAATTCATAGAAACTGTGATAACATATAATTAATCTATCCGTTTGATAGCGCGAAATTTCTGATCAGAACCGATAATGCGGATCATTAACAAATCGCATTGGGTTGTCTACACCTTCTTAAAGCTGCTTTTAATGAAATTGTAGGCCGTGATTCATATCCTTATCACTTTCATCATCGTCTTCTTCGTTGTTCTGACGGTTGTGATAATATTGCGACATGAGTGTGTTTCAAAATTATAGAACCCCTGATTATTCAATTAACCAATCAAATGCGCGTACATTGTCACGTAAAAAAGGAGGACACTGCAAGTCATGACAACTCAAATAAAACCCAGGCAATATACTACTGCTTTATGTTATGCTCTGTTTATTATGTAAAACGAATAACGCTTTTGAGACTTGTACTTGTGAAAAAGGGAAAGGCCAAAACAAAAACAGAATTACGGTTGTGTTAAGTCAGCTATTTGGCTATAATTCTAACTTTGGAGAGGTTTAGTGCTTCTTTTGTTCCAAATGTCACAGTCAATTTGTACGTCTTGCAAAAATGCCATCAATTGCTCCTACACCATCTATAATAATAAGTCCGCCTCAAGTCACATCAGATATCAATTCTGTTGAAGCTACCTCTGACACCTCGGTGTCAGAGTTCCAAGTAAAACTTAGTATTAAGCGTGAAAATGGAAATACCCTACCCGCAAAACGGATGGCATTCTCAGTGACCGAATTTGCAACTGCCTTCCATGACATTAACAGCAATAATTCCTTCTGTTGTTAGTGCTGGTAATATCGTATAGCGCTTTCCGCGAACGAAGACTATCTTTTTGTGAGCACGAGAGTTCGTATAGCCATAGCCTCGGGACAACGATCGCTCATCCTTTGCGCTCTTGTCAAGGAAAATCGGTGAATATGATTCTCCAATATTAGCAATGAAAGAGCTACAAAGCAATTTATTCCTTTCCATTGCAGCTTTATGTAACTACAAAAAAAGAGTTTCAGTGAGAAATTTCTGTTTGTTTAGTTATTTGTAAACACCAACCTTCTTTCGAGTAATGCCACAAAACTTTAAAGATCGCCACAATGTTGGCACAGATACTTTTTTCCAGTTCGTACTTCCATCTCAGACGAGACTTTTGACTTACCCCCATGTCATTATGGTCAAATATCCTTCTACGTCCACGCATTCCGCTGAAGGGATTCTCCACACATTCTCAGTGTTCAAACAACTGGACACAGTAGCTCGACTAACGTATAAGTAACGACAAATCCGTTTACGAGACAATCCATCGGAATGAGGATAAACGATCCTCCAACATAAATCTTCGCCATTATATCCTATAAAATCGCTAATTTTGTTATGCAGCGATAACTGACAGCAGTGTTTGTTAATAACTAAAGTCAGAAACCATCAATAATTGCCAGTAATCGCTAATAATTGCCAGTAATTCAAAACCTTTGTTCTATAAAAGCTGGCACTAAAACTGTACTTACTTACCAAAAGAGTGGCCAAAAGTGCTCGGGAAGGTATAGCAGATCGAGTACGAGTGAATAGTCGCGTTTGAAAAGTGCGATAAATGATACCCGATATCGTGTAACACATGAAGCTTTGCTATTTATTGGTTATATCAGTTTATCGAGCTTAATTCCTATATTAATACAAAATAATATCGGTTATCGGAATTGCGCGATTTTATAAGAAATATCAGTTTTTCGAGCTTTGACTGTATTTTTCAACATCCTCCAACTGTGCTAAACCATTATCCTTATAACTGTTTGGGGCCACCAGTCATCTTTTATAATGACATGTTTGGTAAATTTATTGCTGATTTTAGAAATGAAAACTTGACAATCTCACAAGATGTACTGGATCTAGTCAACTCTCATTGGAGAGTATGGCGACATTGAACACTACCATGGCTGCTGCGATTGATAACGAAACAGTCCCTGATGGTGTCATAACAGTACCTGTTGAATTATTGCATGAAACTGTGATGGTGATTCTGTTAGAAGTGAAAAACGAGATTGGGATATAACAGTAATCCACAACCAATCATTAAGTAAGGTCTCTCTTTTTCTATCTTATTAAGTCGATTTTCTAATTCAACTCAATTTTTTAGAGGTTTATTTCATTTTTTGTAATAAGCTTCAGGATCTCTTAAATTTTTTTATTTTCCATGGAGCCTCTCATTTCTCTTTTTCTTTCTTCTCTTCGACTTCGACGTCTGTCTTGTTCAAATTTAGGTTGTATTGCGATTGAGAGTTCATTAATAGCTCTTTGAGAATGAACTTCTCCGTGTTTTTCAATTTCAAACATCTCAGCTGCCTTTTTCCCGATAGTCATTGAAATAATGTAGTCATTGCAATTTAGTTTTTCACCAATTTTTTTAATGCTCTCTTGCATCGCTTTACCCATTCGAGTTCAGGTTTCAAGATTATGTCTTTTGGTAAACAATTTTTAGTTTCAATAACTGTGTGACCCTTTATTATATCTCCACAAAGTCTAGCAAAAACTTTGCTAGTTTCGATATAAATTCCTTCTGAATTGACCTCCAAAATTTCACTTACCTGTTTTTGTTCTTCAATGCTTATTTTTTTTGTAATCTTTGGCAGTTAAATAAGTTCATTAACCATGTATTTAAGAGCTATTTGGCAATAAAAGTGAATTTTGTTTTGAAGACCAAAATTCTCTACCGGAATGCCGATTCGACCGGGAGGTGAATAAACTCTATTTATTTTGGCAAATGTTATCGGGTAACATAACGTTTTATTCTTATTTCCTGAACATCTTTATTATGTTTCTTGGTAACAAGGACGCAATGTCCCTTAGGTCTAATCTCCGAGTAAGTGAAAACGCTGTTGTTGTAGCACGGTCACAAGCTTGGGACTTAGAGCTGCTAAAATAGTAAAAATTTTAATCATATTTTCTAAATTAAGCGAAGAATGACATACAGTAAATGCCACAATAATACAATAAATAATTGTCGTAATAATTGCTCGACATTCCTGAAGAGAATAATATTTATGAAGTTCCCGACAATGACCACAAACTTGTATTCTCTTTAAGAATACTGATCAAGCAATTACGGATAGATGATGGGGAGGAAAGTCCTGTTATTAGCGCTAACACAGCAATCGCTAGCTTGAAAATAGTACGTGCCTTTATTTTACAACAGGACAATGCGGAAAAATATATAACCTCTTTACAAAATATTGAGAAGTTTGTTGAAGTCAGGAAAACAAGCTCAATGTGTCAAACTAACATTGACACATATTTTTCTTAAAGTGTAGTCTGACTTCGATGTGATAATTTTGATAACTAGTCACTATGGGAGGCATTTATTTCACCGACCATCATTTCACCGACAGTACATTTCACCGACAGTCATTTCACGTGACACATTGTTTACCGCACTTATCATTGGTTTCGATGAAATTTATGTCCTGTTAATTTTGGTGTAACAGTTTTCTGGTTTCTATTCGTTGTTCTATAAGTACACTAAAAGTTCCTCGTGATATACAAGTACACACCCTCCCTAAGTGCACACAAATGTCGAGTCCCGAGAGCGTGCACTTATAGAGGTGCCACTGTATAAAAAAGATCCCGCCCTTTGTACCAGATAGGTTATGCTTTTATTTTGCTTGCTAGGAGAGTGATCCAACCAAGTTGCATGAAGAGATTAGACAAAAATTCGGCGTTGGCAACTCAAGTATACGAGACATTATTAAAGAAAAGAGATTGGCTCGAAACTTTAATAGTTGCTGATAAAAAATGTAATTGTGGGACAGTTGGAAGAAGCACTGACAGCTTGGTAAATTTTGCAAATGAGGTTAGGTTAATCATACAATAACTGGTGTCAAAAGGCAATGTAATTTGCTGGAAATTTAACTTCAATTCCTCACACAAAAGTTCATACCGAATACTAAAATAACAACTTGTTATATAATCCGTCGCTTGAGTTAGAAAGCTAATTTGCCAGATTTTCTTTTATCTAAATACAGACCATATAACGGTTATCATTTGGTAATGCAATTTGACGTTGATCGTCATTGTGAACAGATTGGGTATGTGGAAGATACTTGTTACTGTCGAGCCTTGCGCTATAAGTGATCCTACATATGTTGTGGGTTATGAGGTAGTATTTCTGCTCTCGATGGTGCCACAGAGATTTCAGGAGGGTTGGAAAAAAGTTCCATATTCCTCCTCTCCTCCCTCCCTCCCTGATATCTACATCACTTTTTATCGTAACCTACTTCAAAATAAATCTCTCTTCCCTTCACATTTTTGGCCATCAACATCTAAAATCAAATCTATAATCTATCCAGCTATTTCTGCCTCTCTCCCTCCTCCTCCTACCATACTTATCTAATTGGCCTTTTGCCACATTCTTTGTTGCACCTCTGTTCCTCTGACAAGAGTCAGTTGTATCATGTTAAAATTAGCTATAGCTGATATCAGTAGTTAAGCAATAAAGTCTTATAAAATCGAAAAAAGTTCCATATTGGAGGTTGGGAAACGTTCACCATAACGGTCTAAAAAGTTCCAACCAATATTTACGTAAAGGTTGAAAAAACATTGGAACAATTATTATTAAAATAATAAAAAATCTCTTACAATCCTCGCGTCCTTCCAATTTCATCCTTTTATTGTGTGAGCAGCTCTTCGATACTCTAATAAATCATTCGATTATTGGAATAACCTGATTCAATTTCCCTGGTGATTTATCGGTAGACGTGAAATTGTTAATCAGAATAATCGATCTAGTATATTGGTTATTCATATACTTGCTAATAATCGCGTATAGAGTAGATAATAATAACAATTTTTTGATTTACCTATAGACTATCAAAAATAATCTGGGTAGAAATAGACGTACAAACTGCAGGTTAATTAGCATTTTAGGATTAACTATACAAGATCGGACAACCGCCATGAGTACGTGGTATTTAACCCTAGCAAAAGGTCACTAACTTGTTGGTCATGAAGGTTAGCCAAGCCTCGTTTGAAAAAGCTAAATCTCAAGGTTGCTCTCTCATGGTAATCAGGACATAATCTACTTCAACGAAAATAACCCACATAAATGGCAATGCAAACGCAAACTTGTCTGAGTTGGGGACCTGTCTCGGAACCCAGTCACTTCACTCAGTCCAGAACTCAGTTGTATCAGTTCGGAACACAGTCACTTCACTCAGTCCAGAACTCAGTTGTATCAATTCGGAACCCAGTCACTCAGTCCAGAACTGAGACAGGTCCCCAACTGAGGTGCAACAACGTCATACTAAAACTAAGTGGTATTAATATCATTATATTAATATCATTATAAAGTTTTCGAATATTTAGAGAAGCTTTCTTGCCTAAAAATGTTTATATAAAAACTAGACTTATTGGCATGCAAATAGACAATATAGAATTGTTAATCTCGTTATTATTTTAAGACATAATTAATTATACATTTTACATATTTGTTGATTGCTCTGTGGAGATTGTGCTAGAAGCTAGGTTTGCTTACCAAAGAAAATAATTACCATTCATGACCACTGGACATTTGATTGTTAGCTAGGATTAGAAGTAAAAATAACAATGAGAAAATCTGGTGTTGAACCATAAAATCTCTTTGTGGGTTTATACTTTCGAGTATCCCTTTATTACGAAAATCGCCTTCTTGTTTCTTGTTTCTTGTTTAACAGTATAGGTGCCAGATAAATGATCAGCAATTAATACTTAATTTGGCTTGATTGAGTATCCAGTTAATGAATCGAACAACAGGGAACGTGTTTTCACTAGTCCCCTAACAACGTGGTTGCTGTATCTCACTTTGAATCATAAAAACTAGGAGTATTTGCGACTATTACTACTAACGATCAAAGCTTCTATGACATAAACACTTTTTCGTTACTGTGCAACGTTATGATTATCGTATGTAACTCTACGTTTCCCCCACTACGGTTATGAAACTAAATTCGCTTATTCCCCAACGTCTAATGAACTGTCTGTTCTTATGCGCACCAAAGAAATATCTCTTAACACGTTCACTGTTCCGTTTCGTTCACGTGGTGCACGATCAACTCTTCGGGAGAGTCATTTGAAGGGATTATTGTGATTTGCTTACGACAACGGGTGCGACTAGCGCGCAGGCGTCAAAATCGATTCCATGGAGAGCGTCAACGTCCGTTAATCCTCGTGAATCTTGACTAAGTGTAGTGTATGGCTGTTGTAAATTTTTATCCGGTATTCGTTCAACAACGACCCATTCAGGATGCACATGAAAAGTCTCCTTAATCGAGAACAACGACAAAAAAAAAACTGTATGTATGGCGTGGTATTACGATTATTATTATAGTAAAACCAATTCTGGTAAAGACAATACATCAACGTTAGCTATATCAGCTATATGAAATCCAATTAAGGATACTTGACCCGTGAACATCTTCTTACCCCAGGTATTTGTGTTGCAGTTTTTGTGCAATGGTTCTCCGCACAGGTAAAACGTTGTTTGTTTGTGTACTACTATTTGCTCAGCTGGATGTTGTGTTCCGTACTGTTGCTCTTGTTGGAACGTGATTATCTCTCTAATCTATATTATACTCTATTTTCTATCCCTGAACTTGGGATCACACTATTCCGCCTGCGGTATGAGCGTAGGGCGTTTGTAAGAGGGAAAGTAGATTGTTTTGATGTATAGATAACGATTTATGTTGCATTGACGTTGAATAGTTATACATGAGCATAATATAAAACCCGGTTGCCATTCGTCGACCTCGTGATCATATAATATGTTAACTGTGGCCATGGTTTCTAACAGAATAATAACACAGCTTCCCAATATTCCAAGCCTTCGCGCATCTTATAATAATACTAATATATGATCAGGCTTTGTTGTACATGTGATTGAAACACACTGTTTGTAAGCAATGGTCTTTGCCATATAAGCCTATAAACCGTTTTGCCATCCAATCCAGCCCTTTATTCAATGCTTTAATAGTACCTTTCATTATTGTCAGTATCACAACGTTTTATATACTGTCACAGTTTCAGGGCACAATTCATCCCAAGTTAATTCTGCTGATTCACTGTCAACTGTTGCACCTTTCTAAAGTTGTCACAATTATTATCCGACTTTGTAGATTCACGAATTTCACAGTGATTATCATAAATCGCAAAATGTCCGAAATAGCCAACCAATTAAACAACGTTTCAGAGAGGCGTGCACTGCAAGCAAGTCCCAGAAAATTCCCTTGGCCGAAGTTCGATATCGTATGAGTTTATGCACTATTGGGATGAAACATATGAATAATTGTTAGTGGATGTAAATGGTATAAACTCGCTTATTACATAGTCTTATGATTCGTATAGTTTAGTCTGTGTGTTATCGACGACTTTTACTTTACCATGGAATGCTCCTTGTGCATCCTGCCCTCATGAGAGTTAACTTTGGCCGGCCAATAATTATTAAAATTATTACAATAAACTATATTCAAGCTGTTAAGAACTGTGTCTCGACATCTTCATGGACAATATACAACTTATGTACATGCTGACAATCCAAAATGTCTTGTATCTTTACTTATAATAACATACCCAGATTTTGGTGTGTATTGTTGGGTGATACTACTATCGATCCGGCACATAGATCCAAATATGTTTTCATTTGCTAATGTCACTTGCTAATCATTAAGCATGGCTTAAATGGAAAGGTATCCATAGTCAATCATCTTTTGTAGTTGCCCGAATGACAGGTAGTGCAAACTTTCGTAATTAAGGTAATTTTCCGAATTACATACGCACACTATTAAATTATATTGGGTAACTCATCGCTAGCGCATGTTCAAACCATGCACATTAGTTGAGAAGGCTTTATTCTTGGCTGAAGTTTTGGTTTTTTTTTTAGTTGTTATTTGTCAAGTAAAAGAACAAACCGTGTAAAAAAGTCATTTCAAAGAGTCATAATTGTGCCAATAACTCGATTAATTCTAGGACATTATTGGAGGGGCATAACAAAGAAGCGCGTAGAATGCAAATAGTAAATTCAATATGTAAGTTCATTTTCATCTTTTTGCTTCCGAGATCAATGTTTGCGGGAGCCAAACATGACAAGGGCGCAGATATACCATCAAGTAATTGTTTGAGAGCAGATGACGGTATGTACAGCGTTTTGAAGTCGACATCTTCGTTATTGAGGGCTATTGGCTAGTATTACTATGTTTTTTGTCGACATATGGTATACTATGCATCAAACTGATGCATTAAGCCTGAGAGTCTTATGTGCCAAGTATAATGTCTTGTAAAGATGCTCTCTGAATATGAAAATTAAAAAATTTAATGTTTATATTACAATAATGATTCGCGTTCATATATCTAAATGATGTGATTGCTTATAAAAACATGTATTTGTAATTGTCTATAGCAAGTTTTGTTGGGAAAATACGTTGTGCCTCATGACTGCAAAGAGTGTAAACAAAGCTCTTTTTACGATCGTAGTTGTCACTTCAAGCGATTATTGTAATCTGTTTGAGCAATATGAAATTTTTTTGCTAAATTTATTTCCTAAAAACTAAACAGTCACTGTATAAAAATTCTATATCTTGAACGCAAAAAGGTATATTATTTAAGAAGGAAGTTAAAGCTTGAACCTTGGCAAAGAAAAATAAAAAGAAAAGACACCACTGAACAATATATCGTCGGTCAGAATAGTGGATTTATTACCTTGTTATTTATTTGTTAACTCGATTAAAATGTAATTAGATTATTCGGAACGAAAAGCTCAAAGTTTGAATTATTAAGTGAATTGAACTTGCAATAATAAACACATTGTAACTACTAAAACAGAGACTATGCAATAAAGACTTTTTTTTTTTTCAACTTTACGTTTATCAATACAAACTTTATTATAAACCATTAACACATGCTTCTGTGTTCCACTCTATATTGGGAATGCATTTACCAAATTTATGCATAGCATATGTCGTCGATTCATTAGTATAATAACTACATGTGTAACCTTGATTATTTAGTAACCGGTTCTTATAAATAAATCGCCGTTAGCTGCAAAAAAGAAAAAAAAAAACCAATCTTCTTGTTCAGCCATAATGTCTCAGAACTACCGCGACACTTCCAATTTATCGATGGTTGATTTAGGCAAATCAGTTGTTACTGCAAAAAACCCTCTTACCCAGAATAACCATAATACAATCGAGAAAACAAAAACAAAAAATTCTGTGAATAGACCGAATAGGACGCCTAATGAATCAAAAAAAACCAATCAGAACTCGGCAAAATACGACAAGATAAAGGATCAAGGAATAAACGATAACGATCGCAACAACTCTAGTTGCAAGCATGGTGTGCAACGACCAAAGCTTTACAGAATCATCAAAAAGCATTATGTGAACAACCCACATTCACAAGAGCAAAAAACGAGTGTATCAAATACAGTAGTACGCAAAATAGATTATTCTCGGTCAGATTTTGAAGCAAATGATGGGATGGACGACGTAAGCGTTAGATGTTTCTGTTGGAATACTGTTTTTTGTGACGATGCTTCTGACGACGACGATTATTACGACGACGACGACGACGATTATTACGACGATGACGCCGATGACGATGACGACTTTGAGTAAAGATTATGAAAAGTGGGAAAGTAGGACTCGTTTAAAATAATAGGGAAAAGAAGCACTTAAACTTTACCTAAGAGTTACTTCATTTGCAGTATAATAAGGAAACATGCTTACGAGAGATGACAGGATTGTATATATCTTGTTTTGTATGGTATACTCATGTAATGTTACTGCCTTTTTACGTGAGGAAGATAAAATATGCTTATCTAAAACTTTGTTCTTTCTAATAGACAAATTTGTATTTAAATATACGTAGTTTTTATGAAAATCAACAATGCTTATGAAATTGAACCATGATCTATTAATATGTCTAAGGTATTATTTAATACACAATATTTTTGTATCAATAAAACATGATTAACATACATCTCTACTGAATAGTTATCAACTGACCCCTTTCTACGATGAGCAAGCCATCAAAGGCATGTTAACAATACTTTATTCACTTCGATCTGTTTCAAAAAAGGTTCTCTAATAACGAATTTTTTGGACGTTGATAGATAACTTTAAACTAGATTACGTTAAAGTTTCAGTCAGGTAAGTAGTTTATTAATTTATGAATATACGGAAGCATAATAATACTTGAGGAGTACCTGATTCGGTAAAGCGTTGTTCGCTTCTAACTCGTTTCTTAAAAGTATATTATTAGAAATGCAAGAAATAAAAGGCCGCGAACAAGATAGAAGAATGCGCCATTACATAATTTCTATTTTGCTAGCTGAGTCAACACATTGATGAATGGTAATCTGCTCCCTGTTTTGTTTGACTCACCGTATGCATGCTGAATGTTTCCTATCGACAGCAGATTCTGGAGAACAGTCATAATTATCTCTGGTACAGTAAATCGCCTAACAGTTACAATTATGTCACTCGCGTTTATGGTGAGGAATGACTTAATTGGTTAAAAATTATTAAAATTTCCCCATTCAATTATGCATAAACCATATTGATCTTATGACTTCTTCTAACAAAGCGTTTTGCAGTCCAATTGGAATATGTGCCTGTTTATAGCGGCGTAAAAGAGTAACTCAACCTATTCCTCGGTTAATGATTTTCGTAATTCACATACGCACGCAGTTTCATATGAAGTCCGCCAACAAAATTTCAAGTTTAATAACAAAAAAAGGTACCTTTTTTTCCAGCAAGAGAAAAAAAGTATAGTTTTGCTTTCGACGGGTAATGTATACCCAGGATACTAACAGGATGCTCGGGGGGGGGGGGGGGATTGGCGATTCAACAAAGCAGTGATCCAAACATACGAGTCGTCTTATCAAAGAGTTCTTTCGGGAGAATGCTCCAGAAATTATGGAGGGATTATCAAGACAGTGTGAAAAACTAATGCCAAAAAATTTCGATAATTTATAGCGGAGGTGTGAAAACTTGTTCCTGAAAACACTTTAATTAATTTTGCGGGAGTCAATGCGGCGACGTTGTGAGCTTGTAATTGAAAACAACTAAGAGCGGATTTCTTATTGGTATGAATTTGGTTGGTTATCTTTCAAACAAAGTCTTGTTTATGAAAATTGGTTTAATCGTTGATGAGCGGGAGGATCATTTCATCGACAATCATTTAACCGACAATCATTTCACCGACAAATATTCACCAACATTATTTCGAAGTTATCCTTTTTTGGTAGTTAATTGTCTGTGAAATGTACTGTCTGTGAAATGATTGTCGATGAAATAATACGGACAATGGAGTCGTGTGTTTAGACTCTCGACTTTATTTATGTTGAACAAAGATAGATGATTGGTTGTCTTAATTGTTATTAGAATAGTTTCAGTGTATTAATTTATACTCGAGATTTGGTTTGTTTATTTCAAATGACATTATTTGTCTATGTTTGCGGTATTAGTATTCCTTCTGACGATCATGTGACATAGCCACTTTACTACTTTTGTCAATGTTTTAACCACGTGACAATTTTGTGTACAATTTGCGGGGCGGGAATGCTTTCTCCGGAGCGAAAGGGGGGGAAGAAACCGAAAACATTATACGAATAAGACTTTGTGGCGCCCATTCAACTTGGAAAGTGCAAGTTTTTTGAAATTCAATTCGATATTAACTTGGATGTTGGACAATTTCATCGATAATTGATGTTTGTAAAACTTCATAACATAGTTTCTGTCAAAAAGGCTCAAGGAATTTATTCAACTCTACATTGGGATAGTCTAGATATTAGTTTATGACGAATATTTCCTCGACACATTTTTGCGTGTTGGGGGAGGGAGGGGGAGAGGAGGAAGGAATTATACATATGATACAATAATTAAACTAAAACTAGTATGGGTGGTGTCGGCTTTGTCTTTGATTAACCAGAAATCTTATGGACATTTTTTTACGAATACGAGTAGCCTCTGCTCGTTGCATAGAGTACCATGAATTCTTTACCATTCTAGGTGTACGCCCAGGAAGATGTGAGGCAATCTTGCTCCATTGAGAACCATGATTATGGTATAATTGTACAATCATATTACGCTCGGAAGTGGTAAATGGAGCTGTATTGACTAATTGAAAGCAATAAACAATATAAATACATGAAATGACATTGTCTACTGTAATTGTAAGAAGACTAATTGCAATAACAGAGTTTAAAATGCTCTACTTACTACCAGGGCGGAGCGTATTGTTCCACCTTTGCGTATAAATGGGGGGAGTTAGTTATGCATAGTAATGATATATTCTTCCGGATACATGTGCAGACTAGACATACAAACCTCTCCGCACACTGCCGAGACGTTCTATTAACCATCAATTGGGTGATTTTAGTCCACAAAGGACCATATTCATGGTATAAGTTAATAAGAAGATCATCTTCCTGTTCGTGAACATACAACATTTATGAATACGAATGATGCGTGCAAATGAACACACTATTTAATGCGCAAAATTACCTGACGAGTCCAAGGTATTCTTCTCATGGTGATCTATGCAGAAAGGCTAACCCGTGTATTAGTATAGGATATTAATTAAAAAAGAGAAGGTTAATGTAAAATTAGAATATGACTCGTTGTTAATATTAAGTGTTCAGTCACTTCCTTTAGTATACCCTCTTGGGAACAAGTAATTAATTAATAATGAATGGGATATGTTCTAGGATGGCAAATATTCATAGCAGCGTTAGTAACAGTAGTAGAAGACAAGATATTTGTCTGTGTATAAAAGTAGGGAGGGGAGTAGCTTTTACATTAAGTATTGGGATGGAGGACGAGTTTTGCGTGCACAAATTATACGTTCTTTAAGAGGAAATTCCTATATTGAAAAATGTTCCGGCATTCTGGTCACTTATTATGCATTGTCGAATAAAGCAACAAGTATATGCTCATAAAATGTGTGACGCTGTTATTGGATCGACCAGTCAGATTAATCTAGCAATTGGTATAAAGAAGGATCGGTATATGGTAAACTCGTTATAGTAACAGAACCTTTACTGCCCGTTTCAATGCAATACCCTATCTAGAAAGCATTAACTAAAGTTGGGGTAATTGTGCTTATTCAGAATCGTGACCATGTATGTTGTGCGCCATAAAATGACCAAATTCATATTAGAGTAATATGATCGTTTGTGAATTTTTGGTTAATACAAATATCGCAACAAAAATGGTAAATAAACCTGAGCCACACGTTTTCTGAGAACGTGTTCCAATTTAATTAAGGGCATGCGAAGAAGGCTTGAGACATGTATCTTGAATAATAGATGGCCAACCGGTACTAAAATAAAATTAAACTTTAGAACTAAGATAATTGATTTTAATTGCAATTGCCTTTTGTTTAATAATTCATCATTAAAGAAAGTTAAACGCTTCAAATTTACATGCAGATTCGCAAAAAGCTAAGCTACAAAATGATATAAAGTTTTTTATGGGCGTTACGTTGGATTTTGCATAACCTTGAAAAAACTCGCATCGGATACTTTCTTACGGCGTGTCAAAGGAGAAAAAACCAGTGAAAAACTTTTTACAGGATACGGACTACAGGAAGTTGGTTACGACAGGAATAGATATTGTTGCGAAAATAAAGTCAACATTAATATTAATGTTGCTGCTTTCTACAGTTTTAATCAAATGTACAATTTCCGCATTTTTAATAACGTTATGGTGAATAAGGATTAGATATTATCTTAATTATGCAAATGGTTAATTACTTTTTCGAATAATAAATCCGAAAATTTTTTTAATGAAGAGTAGCAATATATGGACTTACGGCAAGATATGACTTCAAAATACTAGATGCTTCTTGAGAAATTTCCAAGTATAACTTGGCCTTTTTGATAGTCATAACTTACACCTTCCAAGTCATTGTTAAAATAAATGTGACAGTATTGGTCACATTTGGTAAAATATTCTTATTAATGCTACTCGTTTATATTGCGCCAGAAACTGCTGTGCAATTATTTTATAAATACATAATTGACTTGAGACATCCGACAAAAGACCCACTTCACTGAACGTAGCCTCTCCAGATAATTGGAGAATGTTTCTAACGATCAGCGATTAACGTCTTATTTTTGAGCATTCACTCGTAGCGACATTAAGTTTAGAAGCTATCTTTAACGACTATATTTGTCGTTATGGCTTAACACGTTAATACTAAGGAGCTTTGAGTTGTAAGCTTTCCAATCTGAATGTTCTGGATTGCAATTCCGTTATTATGTTGTTTGCAATAGTAGACATAGACAACGTATACAAATAAATCATATTTCATATACCCTAAATATAACATGGGAAGTCCAATAGTTTAGTCCAAGCAGTTTATGTGCTGCACATTGATATGTTTACATCACGCGATAATTCAAAATAGACAGTTCCGCATTATTAGTAAAGAGAGTCTCTGCAATGCCTGAATTAATTCAAAAATGAAACAAAACCACCATGATGGTTTTGAATCCTGTATAACAAACGATCACAACAAAAGATAAACTATTCTACTCACCTCGCTTCGGGTGTCAGACCCGTCCTAGCGGATTAAGAACCGTACCCATTATGAAGCACTGGCGATATAAACATTTTGTATCAAACTTCGATAACTGTTAGACACAATAGAAATTCGGTGATCGTGTCCGTTAATCGACTTTCACTGTACTGTGTGCAATCATTTCATCGACAATTATTTTTCACCGTGTGATGTAACACAATAAATGTTGAGACTTGAAAACTTATTCAAACGATGTCGTTAGCATCAGGGACTGTTAATAATCCAACAATTAACAACTTGGTTCAATCCTCCTTGGAAAGTGAAAGTGTATACTTAAGGCTGAAATGGATTCCGAACTCGAAAATTACCAACATAGAGTCAAGTCAAATTGAAAACGTCTACTACGCTATTCATAAGGATAATTTTTATGAAGCAAAGATAATGTTGCAATTAGTTGGAAGTAGCGAAGAATGTACACCAACACTTGTGAGTGAGTTTGCTAGAATATACTCACTTCCAACACACAAGTACAATAATGATGTCAGCCACTTTAGACGATATTCCACATGGCTTACGTATCGCAACGAACTCATAAAGGGGTTCACCGAGTACGGTGGTAGTTATTACATGGTTGCTGGTAAACGTTTTTACGATTGTTATTCTCGATATGGATTCTGCTCCGCATGTAGAATACTCCGATGCAGTCCAGTGTGGTGCATTTACGGACATAAACAATTATCCGATGGATGGACTAGCAACAATAACCAACTCGACGAGTTTATTAAGAAATCTCAATTACGTACAAACTCACCAAATCATGCCTATTTGGAATGGATTCCATGGGATTGTATTGATGTTAAGACATATGGCGTATACTTATATGGTCTACCTACTTATGCACCCACTCAATTGACTCCGCTTGAAATAGCGGATGAGACGGATGATTTATATTATGATGAGGTGACTATCAAGATCAAGTACGAGTATAATATGTTTATTCATTGTTGTCTGTCCATTGTTAAATAAATATTGACCTATGTACAATTCCGCCAGTTATGTGATAAGCATCCAGATATTCATACCGCAGATGTTTGGGTTACCATCGGGTTTACATACAATCGGTGGGAAAAGAAGTATTGTCTAATAAAAGAACAGAGTGGATTATGTCTAGCATGTGCATGTCAGTTAGAACCTCAGATAAATGGATTCTGTTTCTACTGTAAAGCACCAAGACCTCTTGATTGGACGACTGGCAACAAATCTTTGGATTCATTTCTAGTAGAGTCATGGAGTAATACAGGGAATGAAGATGATGTGTATATACAATGGATTGAATACTCTCTATTAATAAACATACAAGAGATGACCTCATTACGCCATGGATGCACACATGTAGCAGATTTGTTAGACCATACAACTAATAGATGGACAACGACGATGCCAACGAGAGTGATACTCAAACGGATAATTGACAAACAAAACGATCAGTTATTTGATTTTCATCAGGTAAATTATTTCACATGTAAAATGCAAATAGTATTATTAACGTGTGTATCGCGCGTTTAAATCGACCAGTATTGTGACGACTGTATTTGTTTACTCAAATAGCTAACTAAGGAATACCCAGGGATATTAACACCAGATAATATTTGGATAATTGGGATTACTCAGCAGCCATCTACTCAGGAATATTATTTAGTTTTCTACTACGACATACATCAACTAGTGGACATGTTTATACGAAATCATAGACGTGTAGTGTACATACAGTATAGCAAGTTTGGCGAACTCAAAGAGATCGGATCTGGTAATTATGTCACAGTTTATATTGCCAAATATAGAAACTATTCAGAAGAAACTGTTGTACTCAAACGGTTTAAGAGTTTTGATAAAATGCCAGAATTGTTTATTTCCGAGGTAAGCAATAATTGGTATTATTATTATTATTAAAGTGGTATTTAATTTGACATTGTATTTGTTTTTATTCAATAGTTCAGAAATCATACCAAGTGTGCACGTAGTTATTTATTACTTAGAATTTATGGAGTGACACAACACCCAGAAACAAAAGAGTACATGATTGTTATGCAATATGCTAACAATGGTAGTCTTTTGTCTTATTTGGATCGAAATATTAACAAATTGACGTGGATGACGAAATTACGCCATTTGAAGGATATTGCAAGTCATCTGGATGATATTCATAGTACAGGATTAGTGCATTGTGATCTTCATGGCGGAAACATCGTTTTGCGCGGTAGTACCCCATTTATATGCGGTTTTGGTCTCTCTCGATCAGTGAATTCATGCGAGTCGATCATTAGAGGAAGTGTTTTACCCTTTATTGCACCGGAAGTCTTCCATACCCGCAAATTTACTCAGAGATCAGATGTGTATTCTTTTGGCATCATTATGTATTTGATTGCTACTGGTGAACCACCTTTTAGAGATTGGCAGTTCGATGGAGATTTAGCATGCAAGATTGCGGGCGGACTACGACCATCGATGCCTGATTCCGCACCAGAGGAATACAAGAAACTTGCCGAGCGGTGTTGTGATGCTGATCCTGATAAGCGTCCAGAGAATGGATGGAGACTTAGGAGGGATATTGACAAGCTTAGGAATGAGGGGTACAGGGACAACACGTGGAAGACCATCTATCATAATGATGTAAAACCCTCCGAGAAGGAAAGTAATATTCTAGTACGCTCTGACCTGCTGGAGATCGAGAAATAAATGTTTGGATTTAGCTGCAGGTATGAAGACAACGATTGGTTATAAATGAAGTCAATTTGCAATATTAACATCCACTGCTTATGATTTAGTGACGCTCTTAGAATGAACATGTAATTCGCAAGTTTATTCAAGGATTAAATAAATTAGCGTAATGATCAACACTTGCCTCTTGAGTAGGTGAGTCGAACTCTCCATTTAGGTTCTACTGTCGAAGAAATAACTTATTGTACACTAAAGAAGAAAGCATCACAATTGTGTTAGAGAATTGCAA